CAACTGGCATGGTCATGGTCAACTACCACGTAGTCCTAAATAATGTGAATGGAACCCTGTTACCAGAGCAGCGCAGTGGCTAAATGGTGGCTCTTCCACCTGGCAGTACTGGGGTGGTCAGTTTGAATCCCAACCATGGCCCCACCTGCCTGGAGTTTGCATGTTCTCCCTGCGCCTGCGTGGGTTACCCCCCACACCTGAAAGACATGCTGGTAGGCTAATTGGCTCCTGTCTAAATTGGCCTTAGTATGTGTATGTATGAATGTGAGTTAGGGACCTTAGATTGTACACCCCTTGAGGGTTAGGGACTGATGTGAATATACAATATACATGTAAAGCACTGCATAAATTGATGGTTCTATATAAGTACCTGTAATAAATTGAAAAAAATGACACAGTAGTGACATAGAGATCAGAGGAAGGAACTACTGAACTATGAAGGGCATGTAGAAAATTGACTCACACACAAGTGATGGTTGTTGTCAGCAGCCTTCATTGGACAATTCTATTCTAGAGGGCTGCACAGTGTTGAGTATTTACTAATTTCCTTATTTATTATTTATTTAAGATCAGCAGGGTGGCCTCTATTAAAAAAGGAAGGATTCAATTTTATTCATTAAAGTTTGTTCTACTATGGGCAGCACAGTGGCTAAGCTGTTAGCACTTCTGTGTAGCAGCACTAGAGTCATCGGTTTGAATCCCAACAACGACACTACTTGCATGTTCTGCCTGTGTGGGTTTCCTCTGACACTCCAAAGACATGCTGGTAGGTTAATGAGTTCCTGCCTAAATTGGCCCTAGTATATGTAAAAATGTGACTTAGGGACCTTAGATTGTACGTTTCTTGAGGGCAGGGACTGGTGTGAATGTACAATATATATCTAAAGTGCTATATTTATTTATTTATTTATTTCAGTTACTTATATAGCGCCGTCAATTTACGCAGCACTTTACATATATATTGTACATTCACATTAGTCCCTAACCCTCGAAGGGCATACAATCTATGGTCCCTAACTCACATTCATACATACACATACAAGAGCCAATTTAGACAGGATCCAATGAACTTACCAGCATGTCTTTGGAAACCGAGTACCCGGAGGAAATCCACGCAGTCACAGGGAGAACATGCAAACTCCATGCAGGTGGTGCAGGGGTTGGGATGCGAACCAATGACCCTACTACCGCCAGGTGGAAGTGCTAACAATATAAGTACCTATAATGAATAAAATAAATAAATACTATATTGGCAGCTGACCTAGAAGTGCAATTTACATGGTAGCTTCAATATTGTGCAGTTGGGCAATTTATGTGACAGAAACTGAGCACAGTAGGGCTAATGTATGAAATCTAGAGAAAACATATGGAACTTAAATTGTTACCCATAGTAAAGCCACTCTCTGGTACTAGCTACACATATATTGGAATTTAATTTACTCCAGTTTTTTTTTTTTTTTCAAATCATCCTTGGTGAAAACAGCAGCTAATTGCTTTCCTTGGTGACCAAGTTGTCATTTACAGTGATTTTAATGCAAGGCAAACACATCCATATGGTAACCACAGGGGGATAACACAGGCCTTTTTGTGTGCGTTCCTTTCCAAATTGAGAGCAGTGGAAAAGCAGTGCATAGACATATGTTTGTGTGTGTGTGCGTGTAATTGTCCCTTATTTGAGGTTACATTTAGGGCCATAACTAATTAGTGGATGTATTAGGAATCTGATTTGTATTTCCATGGGGCAAAGCGCCAGTTTTACTATACGCCATTCTACTTTCTCTGTTGGAATGAATGGAGGAAAATTTAGGTGTGATTGTCTGACTTCTGATTTTTATATAATGTTGAAAGTAGAGAGAATGGAGCTGGAGAAGTGCGCAGCGTGTAGCAGTACTGGCAGTAGAGAGCACTTCAGTAACACCTGAGCTTAACAAAATCAATTTCCTCAAACACTAAATCTTCAGTGGAACTATGTAATATATTGTATATTTAGTTAACCACTTGACCTCTGGAAGGTTTTACCCCCTTCATGACTAGAGCATTTTTTTTGCTATTCAGCACTGCGCTCCTCTAACTGGCAATTGCTTGGTCATGCAACACTGTATTCAAATTAAATTTTTATAAATTTTTTTCACACAAATAGAGCTTTCTTTTGGTGGCATTAAATTGCCATATTTTTTAATTTTTTTCTATATAAATTAAAAAATACAGAGGATTTTGAAAAAAAAATGTTTTCCTTAGTTTCTGTTATAAAATTTTGCAAAGAAATACTCTTTCTTCATAAGTGCATTCTGCTACATTTCTTTGGTAAAAAACCTGTATCAGTGTATAATATTTAGTCTGTGTGAAAGTTATAGCGTCTACAATCTATGGTATATACATTTGAAAATTGATCAATTCAATCAATTCTGGAGGCACTAATACTGTATACAAGGACAGTACATATACCCCTCCAAATGACCCCTTTTTGGAAAGCATACAGTCCAAGGTATTTAGTAAGAGGCACGGCAAGTTTTTTTAAGCTGTTTTTTTTGTCAATTGTTTTGGAAAATGAAGAAATTAAATATGTTTTTTTTCACAATGTCTTTTTTTTTAACCACACCTCCCGTCCGGCCGTTGTATATAAACGGCTGGACGGTGGCAGTGCAGGGGCGGGTGGCCGTTTATAAATGGCCTCCCTGCCCCCTGCTTGTGCGTGCTCCCTGGGAGCGCGCAGCACCGCGATCCGGTGCCCGCTGTGTCCTCTGGATCGTCATATGGGACCTCTGTGTGAGGTCTCGATCATGTGATCACTGATTGGCCAATCGGTGATCACATGAGGAGTAGTAAGCAAGATGTCATTTCTTTATTACAAGTATCCTCCTGCGCTCAATACAGGCAAGGTCCCTATCTCAACAGCTGCTGTCACTCTACCTTAACCATAAAGTAACCAAATATATACAAAAAATAGTGAAGCGCTTGATAAATAAACATATAAAAATATATATATTAAAGTGCCATCAGTGAATATAGGTGATAGGTATTAATAATTCCTTGTTAAACGCTGGAACATTAAACCCAATAATATATTTAAAATAATATATTTAAAATAATAAAAAACCAAACTGAATTCATAATATATATAAAAACGGTGATAATAACTAAACGAATAATCACACCAGTGTCAAATAATCTTATATCTCCAAGGGGTTCCTTATTCTCCTTCACTATTTAAATTGAAAGTGCTCATCAATAATTAAAGTGAACGTGTGTATACAAAAAAGCTTAATTTAAGTGCATATACAGAACATATATATATGTATAAATCATATATCATATATATATAAATAAAGTCCATGCAAGTGTAGCTTGTGATAGAACAGTGGTCTTCACTTCTAGTGCTCAAACACAAAATCCTCAAATGGCAGCAGTGCCTGCTCACCTCCCCGCACTGACCCTCAAGGGGCCAAAAGGCTACTGATCTCCTCTATGGCCAAACTTTTTTCCTCCTCCTCTCGGTAGCTCAGCAGGTGATCACAGGGTCTCCACTTCTCCTCCACTCATATGTTATATAGGACACAAAACAGAGCTTCCCATAGTATAATATTGTTTAATGTAAGCCAGGTTAACCCTGATGAAGTCACGACGCACGTGACGCAACGCGTCGGTACGCCATATCCGGTTTGGAACTACGTCACTTCCGGTCACGTGGGACGCATGTCCGAACGGAGCGGCCATATTGGTTTCCCCCTGTGTTCATGAGATACACCTATGGCATGAGGTGGAAGGCTTTTGTAACCAGGAAATCAAATGTGAGTACAACCGATATGTAATAGAAGTGGCTTACATTAAACAATATTATACTATGGGAAGCTCTGTTTTGTGTCCTATATAACATATGAGTGGAGGAGAAAGTGGAGACCCTGTGATCACCTGCTGAGCTACCGAGAGGAGGAGGAAAAAAGTTTGGCCATAGAGGAGATCAGTAGCCTTTTGGCCCCTTGAGGGTCAGTGCGGGGAGGTGAGCAGGCACTGCTGCCATTTGAGGATTTTGTGTTTGAGCACTAGAAGTGAAGACCACTGTTCTATCACAAGCTACACTTGCATGGACTTTATTTATATATATATGATATATGATTTATACATATATATATGTTCTGTATATGCACTTAAATTAAGCTTTTTTGTATACACACGTTCACTTTAATTATTGATGAGCACTTTCAATTTAAATAGTGAAGGAGAATAAGGAACCCCTTGGAGATATAAGATTATTTGACACTGGTGTGATTATTCGTTTAGTTATTATCACCGTTTTTATATATATTATGAATTCAGTTTGGTTTTTTATTATTTTAAATATATTATTTTAAATATATTATTGGGTTTAATGTTCCAGCGTTTAACAAGGAATTATTAATACCTATCACCTATATTCACTGATGGCACTTTAATATATATATTTATATATGTTTATTTATCAAGCGCTTCACTATTTTTTGTATATATAAAGATGTCACTTCTGACATCATTGCTTACTACGTGTGAAATCTGTGAATGATCACAGAGGTCACATGGTACAAGGCTATTCACAACAACCTTGTACCATGTGACAAGCTGTGACCAATCACAGCTTACACAGTAGTTCTTAATGACTGCAAGAATGCAGCCAGAGAGAAAGAGAAATGATTGATTTTACACCCAAAAAGGTACAAAAAAAAAAAATCTTCATCACCCCCCACAAGAAGTACAGCGTCACCATGGTGACACTGTACTGCTAGGGTGACAATATGTAAAAAAAAAACCCATAAATAATAATATAAAAAAAAATAAAATGTAAAAAAAATGTTTAAAATGTATGCTTTTTGGTTATAAACTAATTTGGGTTATTTTTTTTTTTTTTTACTAAAAAGATAACAGAATACATTTTGGCCAAGATTTATGATGAAATATTATTTATTTGCAATTTTTTTTCAGAAAAACACTTTTTTTTTCAAAATTTGTGGACTTTTTCATTTACATAGCAAAAGAAATAAAAATCTTAGTGGTGAATAAATACCAGGGGTGGACTGACAACTCATGGGGCCCCCGGACAATAGGGGATCATGGGGCCCCTGTGTCCTTTCCCCAAACTTAAAAAAGCCTATGAAAAAGGTACCAGGGGCATATCATGGGGCTCCCTACTGATCCCAGGCCCTCTGGCAGTGCCCGAGTTTCCAAATGGTCAGTCCGCCCCTGATAAATACCACCAAAATAAAGCTTTATCTATCTCAAAAAAATGCTAAAAAATTCATATGGGTACAGTGTTGCATGACCGTGCAATTGTCATTCAAAGTGTGATAGCACTGAAAGCTGAAAATTGGCCTGGACAGGAAAGGGGTAAAAGTGTCAGGACTTGAAGTGGTTAAACATACTGTCAGCAGTGCAGTACAGTGTCATCATATGACTGATAAATAAAATAAATGTATTTTTCTTCTTTTACTATTTTTTTTACAGTATATACTTTCATCATAGTGACACTGTACTACTCTGGGGGGCGGGAGGAGGGGATAGCAATACTTTCAGCTGTCATGAATAGATTTCCATTCATGACAGCTTAGTTACTGTTGACATGCTGTGATTGACTACAGCTTATCACATGGTTCAGGTAGCCAGGTACCATGTGATAGCTGTAGGCTAATCACAGCATCACAACAGTAAGCAGACTGTCATGAATGAAAACCCATTCATGACAGTTTTCTTACATAAATATCATGTGATCGCTTTGATTGGTCATAGCAATCACATGAGACCCTGGCCACTCATGGCAGTTGGGTACTAAGTGGTTTGATCCCCTGTGCTCACAGGACACTGTGGTCACAAAATTGCACTGCTTCACACCCCAGGGGGGGCGTGCTAGTGTACATGTGCCAGGTGACGTACCGGCAAGTCACCCAGCCTGGCTGTGCTGCCTGTCCATGGCAAGTGTACTGTGGGTAGGCGGCAAGTGGTTACTATAACTCTTTTAATAGAGGAAGTCATTTGAAGAGTAATGATTGCTTACTTTGTAGATTACATGAGATAAATAACAGGTAGATGTTATCTACAAAATCCCTGAAAAATAATTTCTTATAAATGAATACATTCTCCAGATATAAACATTCTATCTACTGTATGAGCTGTGTGTACTTTAAGAAGCAGTGTCGCCCAAAATGGATTTCTCTATTTGGGAAGAGGGATGGGGGTAAGGTAGTGTTTAATACCCCATCACATGCCTTCTAGTGGATTCTAGAACTTTGTGACAGTGCATGTTACAATGTGTCCCAGACACATTTTGTCCCTGTTCAGGATTCTCTTCTTCAGGTTGTCAATGTAAAATCTTTTATGACTCTTTCACACTGATGTGCTTTCGATGTGTTCCCATTGACATACAATGAAAGGTGCCTTTTTGGTGCTCTTTTGAAAAACTGCACCAAAGATGCAGTATGCAGGACTTTTCAAAGCACAGCACACCTGCAGTGTGAAGAGTTACAGTACATGGATTTAATTGGGAATAGTTTTCATGTGCTTTTATCGCCCAGTAAAAGCGTGGCAAAAGCGCAACAGTGTGAAAGGGGCCTTACACTTATGCTTTTAATGTGTCATAATGTGCACCACTTTATATCACAAGATACCCTGCTAAAAATACTTCCTTACTACTAGTTAGTATAGTTCTCTTAGGTCCTTTGCTTTTTAGAACTTCTCCCTCCTTGAGGAAGGGAACTAAAGTTTTTTTTTGGGGGGGATTTTACATTTTATGGTTGTGGGGCTTTCAATTTTATGGTTAGGCACATCTCTTATTTTTTGGATCTATTGCTGTATAATAAAATGAATATACATTTGACAAAGTTTAATGTATTTTTTTTAATATAAGATACCTATCTCTGATTGTCACCAGGGTCACCATACAGTAACTAGTGACCCAACTGGAAGATTTCTCTATGCCTGTTTTGGTGACACTCCAAAATTCTGGAATTTCTTTCACTTTTACTCTTGGTGATAATGGTAAACAAATCAAATAAACTGAGCAATACTCCCTAATGGGGACACAGACAGCAATGAAAACATGATAGGTATTCTAATCCCTCTCAACTCATTTTCAGGCTCCAGCAGGCTCTCAGGATAGCTGTCTGCCTGTACCTCTTGTGGGCAGGCAGCTACCTGAGAGCAGGAAGATCAATGGACTATGAGAGCACACACCAGCACCCTTATAGTTCATTGAGGACTACACGCCATCATCCACAATGCTTGGCCGTGCTTTTAAGCATTAATTCACAGGGAACTATGAATGAATGACGCAGTCATGTGGGCAGAGACCCACATGGTCGTACTATTTTCAAATTGTGACAGTGGCTGCGGGGAGAAGATCCCCCGCCGCTGTCGCAGGGAGGGGGGATCAGAGGGAGAGGCTGCAGATGAAAATGTTACATGTTACACCTTAAAAATGTGTGGAAAATATAATGTTCCCAAGGTGAGCTTATCCTTTAACCGTTTCAATACCGTGCAATTTTACACCTTCCTGCCCAGGCCATTTTTCAGGTTTCAGCGCTCTCACACTTTGAATGACAATTGCGCGGTCATACAACATTGTACCCAAACTAAAATTTTATCATTTTCTTCACACAACTAGAGCTTTCTTTTGGTGGTATTTAATCACCGCTGGGGTTTTATTTTTTGCTAAATTAACAAAAAAAGACCAAAAAGTTTGAAAAAAAAAACCACATTTTTCTTTGTTTCTGTTATAAAAGTTTACAAATAAATAATTGTTCTTCATAAATTTAGGCCGAGATGTATTCTGCTACATGTCTTTGGTGAAAATAACCCAAATTAGGATGTATTTTTTAGTTTGTAGGAAAGTTATAGAGTTCACAAACTATGGTATACATCTGAATATTGATCAATCCTGAAGTACTGACAGCCAATCTAATTTTTTGGTACAGATATCCCCCAAATGACCCCTTTTTGCAAAGTAGACAGTCCGATGTACTTCATAAGAGGCATGGCGAGTTTTTTGAAGTTGTATTTTTTTGTCATAATTTTTTGGAAAATGAAAAAAATTATTTTCACTATTTTTTTTTTTTACATACTGTCACCAGTGCAGTACAGCATATCATATAACTGGCATGGCGGTGATCAGTATTAAAAAAAATATATCTTTTTTTTAATTTGTTTTTATTTTTTTATTATTTTTAATTTTTTATTACATTTCTTTTTCTATTTTTTACGATTTCTGAAGTACTGACAGCCAATCTAATATCTTGAGGTCCAAGAATGTCAGAACAGTACAGATATCCCCCAAATGACCCCTTTTTGCAGAGTAGACAGTCCGACGTACTTCATAAGAGGCATGGCGAGTTTTTTGAAGTTGTATTTTTTTGTCATAATTTTTCGGAAAATGAAAAAATTAAAAAAAAAATTATTTTCACTATTTTTTTTTTTACATACTGTCACCAGTGCAGTACAGCGTCATCATATAACTGGCATGGCGGTGAACAGCGACACTGACTGGTGACCGTATGAAAAAATATATATATATTTTTTTTGTAATTTTTTTTAATTTTTTTATTATATTTTAATTTTTTATTACATTTTTTTTAAGATTTTTTTTCATATTTTACTATGACCAAAATAGTACAATGTTACCATAGTAACACTGTACTACTTTGGGGAAGTGATCAGTATTTTTTTTTTTTTTTTTTTTTTTACACAATTTGCTTATAGCAAAGAATTACTTTGCTATAAGCAAGCATTTAGCTGAATGAAATCGATTCATTCAGCTTTTTTTTTTTTTTTTTTGTGCTTAGCTGTGATTTGGTCACAGCTAATCACATGACATGTGCATGTGATTAGCTGTGACCATTCACAGCTAGGCACTAGTATACAATGGATGGCATCATGAATGAAGCCATCCATTGTATACAACTGTCATGTGACCTGCTGTGATTGGTCACAGCAGGTCACATGGTACCGGCAACGGGAGCCGGTACTCGGATCTGTCATCGGCCGTGTCCGAGGTGCACGGGCGGTGACAGATCGCACTGCTGCGTCGCTCTGCAACCGCGCAAACCACGCATGTGCGGGAGCACGCCAAATGGCGTGCACCCGGAATACAGGAGCACATTTCAAGCCGCCAAACGGCCATTGGCTGGGCGGCTAATGGTTAAGCATTGTGATGGGGTAGTAGAATGATTTGTCTTTATAGCATTACTCACAACTGTCAAAGAAGTTCAAGGAACCAGAGATCTACACTGTGAGATATTATTTATTTTATAGGAAGCCCTTTGGATTTTAGTATTTGGGATTCACCATACTAGCACTATTTCCTCATTTGTAGGTGAAAGGATATTTGTGGAAAATGAGTGGCTAATTCTACGACTTGGAACAGTGTCTCTTTTCTGGTGTATTTATAGGTGGGGTGGTCCTCACAACTAGTGCTTTAGACCCAGCATACGACTGAATCTTACTTATTCCACCCAAAGCAGAACAATCCAGTGGCTAATTCCAAGGATTTCAGCTTAACTGAAAGAAATTAAATAATCAAAATTATGATTTGGCAATTATATTGATGGCAAGCTTGCAAAATATTTGGTTTTTATGATTAATCATAATTAATATTAAAATGTGTGAATTGTCGCCTTAAGCCGATGAGAGTATTATTTAATTCTTCAGTAAATTAGCTGAGATATAAGTAATAGCTGAGACAGTAAAATATGAGTTAGTTAAGCTGAGACCAGCTAAACCAGCTGAAGACTATATTTAGGCATAGCTGGTTAGATGTCTCTAGTAAATGTCAAAGGTATTAGAAGTGACTTACTATTACTTTATGTATTTTTAATAGTATCTGTGTGTATTTAGTATACGTTTCTAATATTGATACATATATAGATTAGTGATTATACAGTGATATGTTGTAAAGATACGTTCTTAAGTTATATTATCATTTAAATATGAATAGCTGAGGCTTATAGTATTATGTACATCAGCATGTACCTGTCCATCAAACATCATATATATATAGCGTCCCCTGTCTTCTATGATATTGCTTTGCTAGCAGTACTGACTTCCATATAAGCCCTTAAGAATATCAAGCTATGACACTCATTCGCTGCATAAAAGGTCCATAAGGGACAGTGGACAGGGACACTCTTTCTCACACACACACACACATGTCTGAGAACCTTCTAAGAAGCTGCAACAGGTGCTTGCTGTAAGACAAGATCGTCACTTC